TGCGCAGCTGCTTCAGCTCTCAATCACACACCCGCAAACTGCTTTGAAACTATCTCTGTTGCTCTCTCTTTGATTCTCTGTTTCTGTCTCTCTCTGACACTGTCTGATTCGCCATTTTCCTGGAAGATCCATAAGCAGCTGCAGCAAATGTAGAAACCCATGTGTTTTAAACAGGACGGCTGTTTTTCTATCTTTTCATCTGTCGACTAATTTACTGAGTAGTCGACTAAATAAAGCAGTTAATTTTCAATCAAAAAAGCAAAATGACAATATGTTTAAGCTCATTTTATTTTGACAAAGTGTATGTCGTTGTATGAAATGCAAAAACAACGGTTTATATATTCAAGTCCAAAACTGGAGGCCTAAACCGAAAAATCTAACATGATAAGCAAAATTAAATGACAGCTTTGCATGTAAGTGAGCAGTGCAGCTCCTAAAGACATCCAATGTCAGTTAAACCCCTAAACAAAGAAACAACTCTCATTCTGTGTAGTACCAAAATGCAACATGGACACAGAGGATATTTGTCCTTTTCACCTTATTGTGTTCTCTGTTTTTGGTGGTAGCTTGGAAATCTATGAAAATCTCACCAATTTAACACGGCTGTTGTCTTTAACTTGTGTATTTTTGTCGCACAGCGTTGCTGTTATACAATTGGTATTTTAGCGGTGCAGTGCAGCAGCTTTAAAGTGACTGTGGGTTAACATGTGGTCTTAATGGGTTTAATGGGCATTACAGCTGAGAAAAATGTGCAGCAATTGTTACAATGAATTGAATCGTCTAAGAAAATAAATGTAAAAGTATTCGTTTAAAATAGATGTTGACACATTTACTGTGTCAGAACCATCAGTTATGTCGACTTATTCTCAGTTTTACATTCACAGACACATTTAAAAACTGATAAAAATCAGTCAAAATGAACCTTTCTGCACATCCCAGAGATCACCTGTCAGTCAAACATTTGGTGATGCTGGCAACTCTTCCTTGGATACGCGGTCGGTACTCGATATCACGAGTGTCCTCATGCTTCGGACTAGTTTGTAGTTGCACAGCATGTCAGAAGTGTTTACAGTGGTCCCACGCTGCCACGATTAAAGCTGAAGTGAGAAACTGACTTTGTAAAGATGCGGTGGAGGTAATATTCATGGCATTACACTCACACTGTTCATATGAAAAGTTGGCAAAGATGAAAGGTGAACTGGAAAAGAAGTTTTAAAGTCGGCCTATTTTCTCCCCTCTGTACAGTCGGTCAATCACGCGATGAAGGGTGTAAATGTGAGATCATATGTTCCAAAAGGGTCGGACACTGACACCCCGTGTAATCCCAAAATCAGAGAAGTGTTTCTGATGATGTCCAATCATCAAACAGGCGCTGTGGACAGAGTATACAGGCCTCTTTATTCAGACATGCCCCCAAGTCTAACACACCTTAGTCTGATGCCAGTCCAGCCCTCACAACCCCTAAGAACTGGTAAAAACACAAAAATTATGCTAATTAACAGGCTTAAATGTAATTTTTAGTTGATCCTAGCATGTATGTTAGTATGAGGATGTTTCAATCAGGCTACTGAGTGCGAAAATTACATTCAGTGTTAGCAAGAAAGGAGAAATCCATGGCTGCACTCCAGATTGTTTTCTTACTGTACAGAGCTTGTTATGTTGAGTTGTAGCCATCGCACTTGCCTTCTTGGCTGAGATTAATTAAAGAAGAAGTAAGCAGTGATACAGCTAAAACATTTATGAAGAGTGCCTATGACAACAACTCTTGTCTCGAGGGCATATATTGTCTACCAGATGATTATGTCTAACTTTTCCATCACCTGTATTACTTTTGTTTAACTGATGTCCTGCCAGTGAGGTGACAGAGACCTATTGGACATAACGTGTCCTTACACACAAGATACTTTTGAGAAGGATTCCTTAAATTTGTGTAAAGCAGGAGATTTTAGAGTTAAAAAATAAACCTGTCAGTGCTCTGGGGGACACTTTATTCACCCTGAACATATCAGTTTCTGTGCTCCGATTTCCTCGTCTTTTTCTGATTGGCAGAAATATATGGACATATAGCTGGGACGAGCCAACAGCAGGCAGTATAATATACTACTGGATTTGTCATAAGTCCTCTAATAACAAAATACCATTTGTCAGGATAGTTCCGGCATTAAATGCAATTAACACCATGAAAGTTTTGTAGGTGCCACTCTTAATTTTGTCTGGTGAGCCAGGTTGGCAGCCACTGTAATTCTAACAAGTGAGTTTTAGTGGCTAATAAAAGCTAATGAGGTTGATTGCGCCTTGTAGTTGCATGTTCAGCAGCTCTTCTTTTGCTAAATGGCCCTGCTGGGTGTATGATTAAAGCAACAATTCTACATTTTGACAGATGAGCTTCTTTGCAGGATGGGGTGAAAAGATCAATACTACTCTTATGTCTGTTTGTTAGCTTAGGGAAGCAGCTAACGTAGCTTTGAGCAAAGTTAGAGTTAAAAAAAAATACACCTAGCGGCTTCTTGTAAGCTAATTAATAGTTCATGTTATAACGCTTTTGCAACAGGGACTTCAGTCATAACATACAGGGTGTCGTATGTGGAACAGCTTCTCTTCAGTATTTGTGATTTGTTTGGATCAAAATAAAGCCAAAATGCTTTCCAGGAGAGAAATAAAGTTTAAATGCTGAGGTTAAGACCCTAGACTGTTATTTATGATGTGAATTTACCTAAATAATGTAAATATTAAGGATTAAAACCCTTCAAAAAATAATACAAAATACACCTTTACCTGACCATAATAGATATTAAGACTACAGTATTATTCATTATGGAGCTTAAGCAATAATATACATGAAAACCCAATAAATCTTTCTTTTTTAGTTTCTGTTTTAGGCTTACTGTGTTAGCTGAATTAGAAGGTAAATCTGTCTTTTCCGACGATTAATTTTGATTGAGAACATCGTAGACGGCATCATTTTGTACATAATCACTTCATTCAACGGCTAACATGAACGAATGTTCATTCTATGGCAGCTAAATCAAACGGTCAAGGATTTTTCTGCATCCCCATTAGCAGTAAAATGTTAAAATGAAACTATATGCTCAGCCAGTGAACCAGCCAGCAGTCTTAAGGATGTAATTAGGGTGTAAATGCCTTGCTCAGAGGCAGCTCAGCAGTAGTTCTACTAAAGGGAGGAGAGAATGTTGCTCATTTCCCTCCCACTAGTCTTCAGACCAGTCTCTCACCTACTCCTCTACTTCCTCTTCTCACTTCTCCTCCTCCTCCTCCTCCTCCTCCTCGTCTTCCTCCTCTTCCTTCCTGCCCCCCAGCACCACCCCCCTCCCACCTACTCCTCCTCCCACCTCCTCCTCCTCTCCCCCATCCCATTCTTTGTCATCTCTTTGGGTGAATTCCCAGCTGACTCTGTTTGTCATGGCAACCAACCAGTCGTGGTGACTGGGCCTGCAGCTCACACTTCCTGTGTGTGTGTGTGTGTGTGTCTGTGTGTGTGTGTGTGTGTGTCTGTGTGTGTGTGTGTGTGTGTGTCTGTGTGTGTGTGTGTGTGTGAGGAGGCGCATGCGCAGCGTGTGTGTGTGTAGACAGCGACTGGCTGCATGAGCCTGTCAGCCTGGATTAAAGTCAAACACACTGCAGCAATGCCTGCTTTCTTTCTTTCTTTCTTTCTTTCTTTCTTTCTTTCTTTCTTTCTTTCTTTCTTTCTTTCTTTCTTTCNTTTTGTTTTCAGATGCATAGATCTGTTAAACTATTGGAATATACATGTTTAGGGGATCTGTTGTGGCTCTCTCTCTCTTTCCTCTCCTACTGTATGTCTCTCGTCCCCCTCCTAAGTAACTCAATGTGCTATTCTAATATGGCAGGAGGAGGGAGAGTGAAGGGGGGTTGGGCTTTAAATCTGGCCTATGATCCTGTGGTACAGCAGGGAACGCTGCTATTACATAACTTAGTATGTGTGTGTGTGTGTGTCTGTGTGTGTCTGTTTGTGTGTGTGCTGGGCTACAGTGCACAGCAGTGAAGCTCCCTTTGCAGCTGCTTATGGTTTCAATGTATGTTTTTTTTTTTTCTTTTCTTTAAATCCCCTGTTGCAGTAAGCTCGTTGTGTTTAAGCAGCTTCTTGAATCACCATGGTTAAGCTGCAGGGTTTCAGGCTGAAAACTTCACCGGTGATTATGGCGGTGTTTCCAGTGAGGTGAGATTTGGTTTGACAGTGATCATTTTCCGCTGAGATCCTGACGGCCTAGTGGATTTCAACATGAAACAAACACAAATGTCAGATGTGAAGCCTTTGGAATATCAGAGTAGCTTGGGTTGTATTCCAGGCCAAAGATCTAGTTTCACTCGTTTCAAAACTCCTTTTATAAATCAGGACAGAAGAACAGGTTTCGATCATGGACGTGTTGTGAAGTGGTTATGGAAAGTAATGAAAAGTCCGCTGCTGAAGGGAAACCCTGTATTTAAATCATGACTAGCTGTGGAAGGATATTAGTTTATTAATATCGTTTTGGAGGGACTTGGATTTGAATTGTCACAGAACTCTCACCACTGCCTTCTGGCATTTTTTGATATACCCATAGGGGGTACATGAACACCCACAGCCTGAATGAGATTTGCTGAAGCGCAGTGCCACCATGACAAATCAGTGTAAGGTGATGTAATTGTTGAGTGGGCCACACAAGGACTGCAGTTAATTTTGGAAGACATCAAGCAAAAAAAAAAAAAAACATCGTTGATTTATTGATCGGCTAGTGGACCAGAAATAAAATGACATTTGCTGGATCCTCCTTCTAAAAACTTGTCTAACATTTTAATAAAGTGACATCTTGGGAGTGTTTTTGTTTAATTATTTTGTGAATTTTTATAGGTAAAGCAATTAATCTGTTCAATAATCCAACAATAAATAGATGCAGTCCTACATAATGATTGCTTTTATATATTATTCACTTCTTACTTGAGCACCAAATGAACTCTTGTCCCCTGGTTTTTGTGTTTTTCAGATATATGTTCGGTAAAGGTGCGAAGCGGAAGCTGGACGAGGATGAAGAGGGGCTGGAAGGCAAAACGCTGGAGGCGTCGGTGGCGGGAGGGGGACTAGGTGTCGGTCCGGAGGGTCTTTCCAAGGTGTCCTACACCCTGCAGCGGCAGACCATCTTCAATATCTCCCTCATGAAGCTGTACAGCCAGCGGCCGCTTGGCGAGCCCAGCCTGGAGCGCCGCGTCCTCATCAACAACATGCTCCGACGCATCCAGGACGAACTCAAGCAGGAAGGCTCCCTGCGGCCGCTGCTCCTGCCGCCCTCACCGCCACCCGATGACCCCATGGATGAGGGTTTCCGTGAGGCGCCACCATCTTTTGGTGTTCTGTCCGCGGCAGCGAATGCACAGGTATCCCAGCCTTCTGCACTGTTGATGCCGGTGATCGCTCCGCCGCCTTCGCCCCACCCGATGGTGCCTCCCAACTTCCAGGCATCCCAGGCCTGCCCCAACCGAGTAGAGTCCTGTCCCGCCCCTCTTGAAGCCTGTCTCACTCCAGCCTCTTTGCTAGAGGAGGATGGTGGAGATTCAGCCTTTTGTGCTCCCTCCCCACCCACTCCTCCTCTGTCACCACCCCCGGCGCAGTCTCCCCCATCAGCACTTCTGAGCCAGGCGTCCCCCGGTGTCCCTGTGCCTGTCTTATCCAATGACGGTTTCCCCTCCACACTGAGTGACATGGAGTTGGGTCCTCCCACAGCCATAACAAGGACAGCAGCAGCTAATACTACGACCATGACTACCTCCCCAGCTCCCACACCAACCACCCAGCCCCCACACTTAGCACCCCTCTCCCCATCACCCACAGGCTCACCCAGAGACTGCAGGACCATGGGTGCTAAACCAGAGGCAGCTGGTGTTTTCCTAGTGGAAGGCCGCTGTGCTGAGCTCCGGCCAATGGACACGCTACCCACACTGCCCCCTGGTGGCCTAGTAGACATTTCCTCCTCTCCTCCCTCCTCTTCTTCGCCCTCGGGGTTTCTCTCAGACTTGGCGTTGGACGATGTCCTGTTCGCCGATATCGACACGTCCATGTATGACTTTGACCCCTGTACAACGGCCGGGGCAGTGGGCGTGACGGCAGGTGGTGGCCTCGCCAAACTGTCACCGGTGGTGACAGCAGACGACCTGTTGAAATCGCTGGCGTCACCGTACAGCGGCCCCACCCCCCAAGTTTCAGCCAATCAGCCTTTCAAAATTGATCTGACAGAACTGGACCACATCATGGAGGTGTTGGTGGGTTCGTGACTCGAGGACACCACCACCTTAGAAACAGAGACGGTTTAATCCGGAGAACAGACTGGAATGAAAATTTGGGATTGATTTTCCTGGTTCTTGTTTTTACTTTGTTTAAATTTTTTAAAAAATCTTTTCAAAGGTCGGTAATTGTAAACATCGATGGTGATGTCAGTTAGTACTACTATGACAACTACTACTACTACACAACACTGTGCATGCACTGTGCTCGCCTTTCCAAATATGGAAATGAAGTAACCGGGAAACAAAGACACACTTAGATTTGTATTTCTATACTTGTGAGGACCTCCTTTAACTCCCATCGTTTCCTAACCCTAAAGGTAAACCTAGTCCTTGTTCTGATCTTTAACCTGAACCTAAGCCTTAACCCTGAGGAGTAACTGTAAATAAAAGAAATAGAATTGTCCTCATTCTGGACGATTTTTGCAATCATTCTATCGTTGTCGGGACACACACACTCCTCACAAGTACAGAAATACAGGTGAACACACATAAACATGACACACACACACTGTATTCATGGCTTTTAGCAGATGAGTGCCTTTCAAAATGACCACTTATTCAATTCCTGTTTTTACAGTATTTTTTTTCTAGTTCTTTTCACTTTAACAGCCTAGAGAGGTCACTCCTCAATGTTTGTTTTTTTAATTTATTGTATTGTATTAAACCTATTGTTAAGTAAGGTAATTTCTCATGATCAAATAATAATTATTTAATCTTTATCTTATTACAGATGCTATGTTTTATTTGTAAAGCAAGCCTAAAAAAGGTTTTACGAGGAATACATTGTTTTACCAGTGTGCTAGATTACATGTAAGCTTGGCTATATAATTACGCTTTGGGAGGAGCTCTAAAAACACGTCGCCAGGTTGTTTGTTGAACTCTTTTGGTAGAAGGAGATGTCTGTTCTTGTATACATCAAGTCTATGAATTCACTTTGGGACTTTTTCCTTTCCCTTCCTTATTGGCAGACACATGTAACTGTGCTGGATGCTATTTTACATGAGCTTGGTCATATGAGCTGGTTATCACGATTCAGTTACAGCAGAATTCAAATGAGCTACACCCACGGGAAAGCTTGACGTGTTTACATTGGAAGCAGCAGCAGCGCTATCACCGACTCATGGGTCCCAGTTGGATGTAGATGATCTGAAAAGTGCAACCTTAGCAGAGGCTTAGGGCTCCACACACATGTTTAATTTGGCCATACAGGCCTCAAAACAAAACAGCTGTCACTGATGGCAGGAAAAGTCGTTTGTGGTATCAGTGTGACCCCATACATTTCTCAGAATTACACAAAGAAAAGTGAATATTTTAGCAGGAATACCTTATTTTTGGTTTGGCTCCTACGGATTTAGCAACTTGGGTGACAGATTGCAGCAGGGCGTACAGTATTACACAAACCCTGTATTTGTAAGAGTATGTTTACTTGTGTTTAGAATAGGGGCCCTTACATGCCAAATCTCAGGGTTCTGCTCACTTCTTGTACATTGTGCAGTACAGTTTTGAGGTTGACCCAAAAGCTCATGTATGTTTTAAACACATGCGAGAGCAGGAGGGCTAAATCTGTCTCGTAAATAATTTGAACACGGATTTCCACTGAAGGAGGAAACCCAAACCACAGTGTTAACCTGATACTGAAACCATTCAAAAGACTGTGTTGTTTCAAAACACTAACCCCCCTGCATTGGCCACTGTGAAACATTTTTGGCACAAAAAGTGATGGCTACTGATTATTATCTGTGGGTTCATCACGACAAACAACACATTAATCATTTGATCCAGTAATATAGAAAGTATTGATGAGTGCAGCTTTAATGTTGACATCTTAGACACTGTAGTAGCTGCTGTGCGCTGTATCCTATAATGATGCATATCTTCTACATTTGACTAGCTATTCACAGAAATATATTTCTGGACTCTGATATAGTCCAGTAATGCAGGGTACATCACATCACCGGTGGCTGTTAATGGTTGATTTTTCCATCAAAGTCATTAAGTAATCCTAAACCTTTGTGTGTTTGCCAACACAGTTTTGCAGTGGTGTAAAACGGTATGTTAATGGTATTTCTAGCAGCGTCCCAGCTCGTACAAACATGGTAGTTGTTAATAGGACAGAATGCGTTATCTGGAATCCAGTCTGACTCAGCTCACTGTGTTAGCCAACAGCAGCAAGGACAGGGTGAGTTTAAAAGTTGTTCCAATGGCAGATCATTAGCTTCCCAGTGTGCATTTGACTTCAGTTAGTGTGTAAGAGACCTGCTTTTTAACTGAACTCAAAGCTGAGCGTGAGCCGAGCACATAGCAGCACCAACTAATACTGTTTGTAGACAACTGTGTCTTGTTTCTTTCACTATGTTTGAATTTTGGAGTGCTTGTTTCTTTTTTTTTTTTTTTTTTTTTGTCAATGAAGTTATTTATTCATATTGTTTTTTTCTTTTCTGTGTAAATATATTTATTTTTGATGTGAAGTGATCATTTGGATTGTAAATGTGTGTACAGAATGTGTGGTAGGAATGTACTTCAGATAGGAATGTATCTGAGTGTGGAATTATGGGTGGAAGCCATTTTTTTATATACATAGGTAGTTATATTATCTTGTTTATCTGTCTGTTTGTTGCTTTGTTATTGATTTTTTGTGGGGTGGCGGCCACAACTTTTTACATCTTTTGTACTCCTTTGTTCATCATTTTCCAGTTGAAGGCGAACAGTTCATGCAGCAATACTCAAAAGCCCTGTCTCCAACCTTCAGATGTCAAGACTCCAAAGCCTGTCATAGACGCTTCAATGCCAAATGTAATGTACATAGTATGAACAACATTCGAGCTCCTGAGACTTTTTTGATCAGTGTTTGCCACCGAATCGGTTTTAGCGCTGACCGAGTGTGCAGCGGTTTGAACTGCAGACAAGGACTGACCGCAGTTGAGGCTGATTCCCTCTACGAAGGCTGTATTTTACACAGACCTCAGAGCTGTGCCTTTTTCTATGCAATAGAACACAAACACAGAGAGAGAGAGAAACTATCAGCTGATCACTGTATTGGGATCCAAAATGAGGACTGTGGAATATATATATACACATATATATGTATATATATATATGTATATATATATAATATGGACAGCTGTCTATGAATTTGAAACAGTCTTACTTTTGTAGTTTTATATATATATATATATAAATATATATATAAATAATAAACTGTAAAAAGCAGATGTCTGTGTTGTGTCTTTTATTTCGTCTTATGTTGTCTTGCTTTTTTAACATGTGCATACAAACATATTAACCTTCGTATTTGTATAATATTTATTTATAATTTAGGTTTGTGCTTGTGATGAACAATGCTGAACAACATCCTTCATCTGACAAAGTAATTTTAACTCAAGGTCCACTTCTCCAGAGCTTTTAACCACCTCTTCAGGACTGAACACTTGTCATGTGAGTTGTGCTGAATCCTTTTTGTGCCAGAAAATTCCAAATGTTCACTGATGTTGTCTATATCCTGTTGTCTCGTGGTACGTTGTGAAAGCCAAAGTGATGGTGAGAAGAAGGGGATTACAACCACTCGATTACTACGGTGTGTCTGTGCATGTGTGAAAAGATGGGGCGTTGGAATTGAAGACCTTGGAAGCAGTGTTTTGGTGAAGAAAACAAATCTCAACACAAGGTCAGCGTGTGTGGAATTCTGCTCATGTGATACAGATGGTCATGTACAGTATATGTGGTGAGGACTGACGTAAGCTGTGGAGGAAAGCTTTGGAAGTGATTATTGAACTTAAAATAACAACTGCACCTTTTAGATGATGTATTATGGAACAGTCCTATCAAGGGGTACAATTAGGAATGCTGTTTTTACAATGGGTTTATAATCTATTCATTTTGAGGGAATACAAAGCCATCAAATCTTAAAATCTAATACGTTTCCTTTTTTTCCAGATTCCTTTTCAGATGTTCACCACCTCAAGGATAATCTTGATTTATGACCTCACGCAAACAACAGCTAAGGCCAGAGAGGTATTACGTTTTTTTATTATGTTTATCTGTACATCCCTCTGTTCAGCTTGATATCTCTGTAGCACCTAAAGGAAATTTCTGCATAATTGCCACAAATGTCCACTTGGACTCAAGGATGAACTGATTAGATTTGGGTGGTCAGAGGTCTAAGCTGACTGAGACCTCACAAGACATGTTTTTATAGTTGATCCTGACTATAGAGTAACTGGTCCCATCTGTGTCTGTGCGCTCAGGTCTAACAAGT